GTGAGAAACCTTCACAACAATTTCTTTGATGGTTGATGCCTCGTTCTCCTCGCGCTCGATCTTATATATATTCAAAATGACCTCTTTCATTTCTGCACTCAGGTGTCTTTTTTTAGAGCGTTTCCTAGGTGGACTACAGGAGTTTACAACTTCATCGGCAGTATCTGTACTACTGGGCATTTTGCGCAAGCAGTTGATAACAATAACAATCAATAACAAGGTATAACAATAACAACGACAAACTCAACAACTTAATAAGATAACAAACGAAAACGTCCAAAGAAATATCAAATTGCAATGATGCACACGACATACGTAACACGTCTGAACCTGAATGTGACTCTGCCTTGATACGACTGCTCTGCCGCTCGGCATAGGCATTTAATTGCGAATTGACCAATGAGGGCTCCTGTTTTACGTCGAGACGGCGGCGTTAGCGTGAAAATCACCCGAACCTTTTGTTTACATCCGGTCTATCCCTTATCTGAATATACTGTAGATGATTGTTGAATCAACTCCTTTTGAGTTACAATAAACGACTCAACTTTAAAAACACTCTGTGTACGCGTATACAATGGTGCATTCTACATTTTGCGAGCATCAGTGCTGAATGATATCAGATATGTCAGAGATGCAGTTAGACGCTAAACGAGCAATTAAACGTCAAAGAGGAGAGACCGTATAATCTGGACTACCACTTTTCTTTTTGCTTTTTACGGCACTGCCTGTGTAAAAACGATAAGCAAATAACGGGTCGTATATGTGGCTCTGAAAGGCAACTTGGCTATTCGACCAGCCCGTCCCAAGCAGTTAATTTATAGGGGGCGTTCCAGTTTTTCCGAGAGCAATTACTTGTAAATAGTCCCTTTTGACGGGTCAGACATGAAATGCCCACTCGGTAATTCTAAAATGAGTTACATCGATTTTCAGACAGATACAACGTACTCGTATGCATATGACTTTGAGACGGTGATCCTCTATGTTATGCACAGTCGTACGTTTGTTGTAAGGCCGTGATAACTTCCAGGTCTTCTATTCATAGAGGACGACTCTGTCAGCTCAATATTCGAGTTAGGGCTCGCACTTTAATTACGTACATCTAACTTTCACCCCAAAACTAGACACAACAGAAGCAACACTGGAACCAAAACCAATCCATGAGGAACACCTGCGTTGACGTAGTACATAGTTTCTATTTGGCCACAGGTCGGCAGTTTACCTAGGACTAATTGTGGCAAGCTGATCAAAAGCTTTTGTTATTCCAAATGACTGTGCGAGCTTAATTTTGCATTTCTTTTGCATATAATCTCAGGTGAGCTAACCTTTGCTCACATTCTTTTTAATAAAATTCAATTTAGATGAGGTGAGACGGTCAAGCGTTTTTTCACTGCTTTCTGCTCTTCAGTCAACAGGTGGGGTATTCAACGAGAAACTAATTTTCTTACTCCTAATTCTACATGTAAATTTTTTTGAATTGAGGTCTTTGAGATCTTCAAGGATGCCTCAATCTCGCGATATGTCACATGTCTATCTTCAATGATGGTTTTTGGGGAACCCACCCTGGGATCGTCGCTATTCGCTGTACTTTCTTTTCGGGCAATTGCAGTTAAAATGCAAAGAAGTGTAGACACTGTGGTTAGGTGTTGTCAGGCATGGCTTCGAGAAGGCCGTACGCAAAGAGCAAGGGGCACTGGACGCCGCCGTAGAACAACAGACCGTGAAGATCGCCGTCTAAGATTATTGGCCTTAAGGGACCGTTTCTCCACTACCAGGTGCATTGCAAATGAATGGTTTGCAGAACACGGAAGACCTATTGGCATGCGAAGTGTTTACCGACGAATGAGAAGTTTTGGTTTGTTTTCATACCGGCCACACTGGGTCCTCCCTTTAACTCGAGAACACCGACGTAATCGCCTTGAGTGGTGCAGACAACGGTCACTCTGGGTTCAGGAATGGAACAGTATTGTCTTTAGTGACGAGTCTCGATTTTGTTTAGGCATGCACGATGGTCGTGCCAGGGTTAGAAGGCGACGTGGTGAAAGGAGGAATCCACAGTTTTTTGTTGAAAGACATGTTCATCACACTGTTGGAGTTATGATTTGGGGTGCTATAGCTTATGGTTCCAGGTCACCTTTAATCTTCATCAGAGGTAACATGAACCCGCAGCGTTATATCCACGAAGTTCTAGAACCCCATCTTTTACCCTATCTTGACACCCTGGCAGATCCAACTTTCCAACAAGATAATGCCCGACCACATGTTGCAAGAGTCACAATAGACTTCTTTCAACATAATGATGTCACATTGTTATCATGGCCACCAAGATCTCCCGACTTATCCCCAATTGAGCACGTGTGGGATACGATGGGTAGGAGATTGCTCAATTTGCAACGTCCTCCTCAGACTCTATAAGCACTTCGAGAGGAGTTGGTGGTTGCCTGGAATGAGATACCACAGGAGGACATTGACCACCTGATCAGAAGCATGCCTAGACGCGTTGGAGAATGCGTAGCACATCAGGGTGCATCCACACATTATTAAAGGTCAAAGGGCTTTAAAGCAGTGCAATCATTTTGAAATTTTTATCATTTACTTATTATGCTTCATTAAGTACTTATACAAAATTTTATTAATATAAATCCATTTAAACTGGGTGTTCGGATTTGTATGCCACTTAGTATATATTCATATTCATATATACATATTTCCAAAATGTGTACGCTCAGAATAAAATTATTATTTGGGCATAGAGAATAAACTAACGCATATTTTAAACATGAATCTCAATTCAAGGAACAATGTCAGATGTTGGCAAGGCGGCAGCGTGTCGCGTCAGCATTGCCAGGCAACGCGGTGATGAGCTTTGCTATCCAGTCAGCTTCTATCTCTGTCTAACATATGTGTCTAGACCCACTTCTCTCTCGCACACATTGAACTCAAGCCGTCAGACAAATTTGGTTTTCCCTGTATACAGTGTGTCGCAGATCCGCTTCTCTATACAGGGATCTCGGCTACTGTTATACCTACAGCAAATGTTAAATGGGGAATGTTTTAGCGGACACTTACTGCTTTCGATGGCCGTCTTCAGATTTATGATTGGTTAATTTGTTGCTGTCAAAATGTGACATTATGAGGATATTTTTTTAAGAAAAAGAAGATAGCATGTATGACATGTCTCAATCGTCTTTTGTTTTCCAGCAACCGTCCTCAACTTTCATTTTTCTTATTAAGATTTTTTGATTTTAGAAGGAAGTGTAAAATTTCCAGTCTAGTGATGTCTCACAAGTGCATAAAAGATTGTAGTATCACCGAAATATCATCACACGTAATGTTCTGTATTAGTCGGCTATCGAAAGCACTAAGTTTCCTCTAAAATTTTCCCTATTCAACCTTTGCTGTAGGTATAACAGGAGCCGAGTCCCTATACAGTGATCCGGCCCCTGTCTAATCCGGCGCCCCCTGTAATCCGACATCCGTGTCAACTACTGACTGCGGGCCAGGCAAGAGACAGACACTCAAGAAAGCTGAACATCCAGAAGTGGAAGAAGCTTTGTACATGTGATTTCTTCAGGAAAGAAATAGGCATGCACCAATTTCAGGACCCATGTTGGCCATGAAAGCTAAGTTTTTTTATAAGGAAATAACAAAAAAAGATGTTTTTGTGGCCAGCAAAGGATGGCTAAAACGTCTTAAAAGTCGTCATGGCATACGTTTAATGACTATTACAGGAGAGAAACTTTCTAACGATGCCACCTGCATAGAGCCGTTTAAATTAAGATTTTTGCACAAGGTGAACGATTTAAATCTTGACCCGTCACAGGTGTACAATGCAGACGAATCAGGGCTTTTTTGTCGTGTGATGCCTAAAAAAACTTTTGTTTCTTGTAACGAAAAATCCGTACCTGGACAAAAAGTAAGTAAAGAGCGTGTAACCATACTACCATGTCCTAACGCTGCGGGAACACACGCGCTTAAGTAGATGGTCATTGGGAAATCTAATAAACCACGGGCATTCAAAAACGTTGATTTACCTGTACACTATGACGGACAAAAAAGTACATGGATGACAATAGACCTTTTCAAAAAGTGGTTTGATGAATGCTTCGTACCTGAACTTAAAAAATGGTCAAAAGATCATAATTTTCCTCAAAAAGCGTTGTTGCCTCTTGATAACGCTCCCGATGATCCGTCTGAAGAAGAACTAACAACTGAGGATAAATGCATCACTGCGATGTTTCTTCCGCCAAATTGCACTGCACTGATTCAACCAATGGACCAGAATATCATTCAGTTTGTCAAGCAAGACTATAAGAAAAACCTACTTCTGAGAGCCGTATCAAAAGACCAACCAATAGAAAAAACTTTAAAAGAATTTAATATGAAAGACTTGGTTTTTGCTCTTTGTCAGTCGTGGAATGCGTTACCGTCATCAACTATTAAATCGTCTTGGAAAAAGTTATGGCCAGATATAGTCACACTATAGCAACGTTCCACAAATCAGTGTTACTTCGGAAGTTATAGAACAAGTCGCTACTGAAACACAGATAAGTTTACAATGGGCTGAAGAGAATGGTACACCCTGCAACAAACTTTTACTTCTGAGAAGACTGAGGGACAAAGCTCTGATCTGGCGTTATAACAACCTTAAACAAAAAAAAGATGAATATTTCCAAACTTCATAATTTGATAAATTCATCAATGATTTTGATTAATAATTCTTGATTATTTTGGTACATATGTATGTGCATTTATGCTTAATTTTATAATAAAACGTAAGCTCTCTATTGTTATTTAATTTACTAAATTCGGAAGCGCAAAAACATATCCATACAAAGAAAATGGTGCGTTAATATTTGCTTTGGTGTGGGGCTTGATCCGGAATCCGCCATATAATTCGCTACGGATTCCCATTCACGGATCTGCTGCGATTTCTTTCGCGTTACTTTAAAAAGGTATCAAGTTAATTCACGACTATGCATACAGACAGATCATTTGGAGTTTAATATATTATGAAACTCACAAAACCAATTTCAGCGGCAGGTCCTGTACAATCGGCCCTCCCTACTCCAACCTTGTAATCAGCTTGGGCGATCGTGACGGCAGAGAACAATATAAATGCCAACGCCTTCATGATGTTTTCCAAGAAATGAGATCCTTTTTTTGCTCTTGCCAGCGCCATTCCGAACTGCCCTGCAAAAAAAATTATATAGTTACTCTGTAGAGTCCAGTGAGCTTTCTGCAACAAAACAGTAAAGAGGCAAATGAAGAGGCGGTGAAACACAAAGAAAAGGGCTTATTTAGCTTTAAGCTACTTCATACAATGATAAATATTTTACAAAAAGTGTGTTAAATCTACAAGGTGGTCGCAACATCAAACCAGAGCAACCTCTCCGAAGTCTCTTTTCAAAAATGTTGACAGTACTAAATGTTTATACAATAATAGGTATATCGTATGTCCTAGAAGTTATGGCACAAAATATTTATCGGTTTTTTTTTTAATGAAGAAATTTATTTTAATGGCATGATGGACAAAACATGATATGGTCATTAGCATGATGTTCCTGGACAAACTGAACCGATTGAAAAAGGCAGTTATCAATATATACTAAGTGACATATAAATCCGAACACCCAGTTTAAATGGTTTTATTTTAATAAAATTTTGTATAAGTACTTAATGAAGCATAATAAGTAAATGATAACATTTAATAATGTGTGGATGCACCCTGATGTGCTACGCATTCTCCAACGCGCCTAGGCATGCTTCTGATGAGGTGGTCAATGTCCTCCTGTGGTATCTCATTCCAGGCAACCACCAACTCCTCTCGAAGTGCTTCTAGAGTCTGAGGAGGACGTTGCAAATTGAACAATCTCCTACCCATCATATCCCACACGTGCTCAATTGGGGATAAGTCGGGAGATCTTGGTGGCCATGGTAACAATGTGACATCATTATGTTGAAAGAAGTCTATTGTGACTCTTGCAACATGTGGTCGGGCATTATCTTGTTGGAAAGTTGGATCTGCCAGGGTGTCAAGATAGGGTAAAAGATGGGGTTCTAGAACTTCGTGGATATAACGCTGCGCGTTCATGTTACCTCTGATGAAGATTAAAGGTGACCTGGAACCATAAGCTATAGCACCCCAAACCATAACTCCAACAGTGTGATGAACATGTCTTTCAACAAAAAACTGTGGATTCCTCCTTTCACCACGTCGCCTTCTAACCCTGGCACGACCATCGTGCATGCCTAAACAAAATCGAGACTCGTCACTAAAGACAATACTGTTCCATTCCTGATCCCAGAGTGACCGTTGTCTGCACCACTCAAGGCGATTACGTCGGTGTTCTCGAGTTAAAGGGAGGACCCAGTGTGGCCGGTATGAAAACAAGCCAAAACTTCTCATTCGTCGGTAAACACTTCGCATGCCAATAGGTCTTCCGTGTTCTACAAACCATTCATTTGCAATGGACCTGGTAGTGGAGAAACGGTCCCTTAAGGCCAATAATCTTAGGCGGCGATCTTCACGGTCTGTTGTTCTACGGCGGCGTCCAGTGCCCCTTGCTCTTTGCGTACGGCCTTCTCGAAGCCATGCCTGACAACACCTAACCACAGTGTCTACACTTCTTTGCACTCTAACTGCAATTGTCCGAAAAGAAAGTCCAGCTTCCCGAAGTCCCACTATACGGCCCCTATCAAACTCACTAAGTTGACGAAATCGTACAGGTCTCCGTACTCTAGGCATCGTAACCGATCGTAAAGGTTGTCAAGAACCAAAATCCGCCAACGTTGATTCTTTACTGCGGCTGAAATATTCATTTTTAGAGCGTTATTGAATTAAAAAAAAATCAGTATAAAAACCGGAATGTCCAACTGATAAGGCTGAAAATTTTTTCACTTGTTATTTACAGTAAGATAAATACGTTCACCAACTTTTATTAAAATAAAAGCATTTAAACTGGGTGTTCGGATTTATATGTCACTTAGTATATCTCCAACTATTCAAAGCTTCAGCCTTCACTCTTCCCATAAAGGGTTGGGATACATCCTGCTGGAAATTGCGCACCAGACAAGGATTTTATCAGCAAATTTCGCTTCATATTTGTATCTAACATTGTCAGGTAATTCCTCTACGTTGGTTATATAAAATGCGTCGTGGCGCCGTAAACGAAGTAGTTGCGCTTGAGAGTATTTGGGGCACTTAAGTGTCTTTCAATATTTAATGTCATTGCTCATCAATTCCAACGATATCGTACTATTAGGAGATCTGTATTGACGAACCAGGCTCTTGTTGCCGTTCCAAGCTGATTTTTTGCTCTTTTCACCAATCTCTCCGACCTTGTGCAGTAAATAATAATACATAATAATAATAAATGTCTGTATTAGCAACACAACAATAGGGCGAAGTTTAGCCAGTTGGCTACTCTCGACCAACCCTGTTGTGTGAGAAAAGATGTATATACAATTTAAAGTCACATACATGCAACCTAAAAATAAATACATCGATCTGGCTTTCAACTAAGTGGGCTAATAATAAAGGGAAAAAATACAATTAATTGATAAATCCGCGCTATATTGGTTAACCGAAAAGGAACCAGTAAAGAACCAATACTGCATGGATGACAACACATAAAAAAACATAGAGATAACAACAACTAATTATGATACATCTAACAGCTGATTTTTAACCAGCTTCCTGAATGTTACTGCACTTTTGCTTCTCCAGGCAGGTCGGTTGAATTGTATAACCTCACAGCACTGAAAGTGAAACATTTTTGAAACAATGCGGTATAGTGCAAAGGCATTGTCAGATTATTATTATGCCTCGGATCTCTAAGATTAATGATTCCTCTAGTTACAAATTTATTATGGAGGTAGATGGGCTTTTTAGTACACAATATCTTATGCACAAATACCTTTAGACTATATCCAAATTGTTGATCCATTTTCAGTCATTTCAACTGCTTGATCTTAGGGGAGACATACACAAACCTACAGCAGTTGTTTTGCATTCTTTGGATCCTACATCGAGTCAAGACAAGGATAGTATAAGGTTAAAGCGTAGTTGAGGCTGGACATTATCAAACTTTCAACTAGCTTCTTACGCGCTTTAAAGTTCAAAATGAATCTATTAGCATATAGCAGTCGTAATTTGATGTAGGTGGACTTCGATAGATGACACACACGTTTGTCAAATCTTAAACTAGAATCGACGATGACACCAAGATTTTTTGCTTGTTCCACAATAGGAATGAGCTCGTTGTCGATGCTCAATGCAATTCTGTCCCTTACCCTATTATGCAAATGTTTAGGATAAAAAAGTATGCAAGTACTCTTATCCGGATTTGTCTTCAACATGTGTCTTTTACAAAAATCAGTGATGTCATGGCAAGATCACAATTTATCTTATATGACACTTCATCCAGATGAGACAAGTCAAAATGAAAAGAAAGCTGCGTATCATCCGCCTAAGTGTGTATAGCACAAAGCTCAATACATGGATGTAAATCAAAAGTATATATCAAATACAGAAAAGGACCTAAGACAGAGCCCTGAGGGACACCTGAAGAAGCGGCAACAGAAGATGAGACACCTCTAACTGCCTTCACCTTTTGTTTACGATTAGTTAAGTAGCTTTCAAAAAATTTAGGCGGAATATCAGAAAGTCCAACATACTTTAACTTACTCAACAAAATTTTATGGTCAACAGTGTCGAACGCCTTAGAGAAGTCGACCATAACTAAAACTGTATTAATATGTTTATCCATATTATTTAAGATATTGTCTGTCAAATGGAGAAGTGAAGAAGTTGTACTGTGTCCAGCACGAAATCCGGACTGATGGACAGGAAGTAAATTATTCATCTCTAAATATTCAATTAGTGGTCTTGCACTTTTTGGGACGTTCAAACATGGTGTTTCCTTCTCGCATTCCGCTGTTGTTCGATAAATGGTTCTTCGTGAAATGTTCTCATTCTGGAATATTCGACAATTTCAGCTTTATAATTTAGCGAAGGCTCCAAAATAAATAAATGTCAACTGACCGTGAAGTAAGTAAACAAATTTTTGTTTCCAAAGGCAACTTGATATTATTTTGTATTTGTTAAAATTAAAGGTACATTATATTATTTTATGCCAAAACTTTTAGGACACACGCTATTGTTGTACATTTTTTGACCTAAAACAAACACGCCTTTCTAAACCGTTAGGTTTAAATCAGTGTATATGGAAATTTTCTTTTGCTCTAATCTCGTGACCTTGGATTTTACATATGCTTTTTAGAAACTGTTCTAGATAAGGTGGAGCACGATTATTAATAGTTTTGTATAAAATAATTAAATTTGCCTCTTGACAGATTTGGTGTATGTTCGTAAAATTTAATGTCCGCCACCGCTGCGGTAGTAGACTCTTCGGTCTCCTGATCAGTCGCCGTGCGTTGTGCGGGTTCGAATCCCGTTCCAAGTGAAAATTTTCTCTTGGCTATGGATGTTGTGACTGTCCGTAGATCGTAGACGGTCTCTGACTGTCGAACGCGGAGGTACCACCCGGCGGATCTCGTAGGCGAAGCCAGAATGTGTAGCGTTCTCCCTTTCCCCTGTATCTCCCTATAGCCCCACGGTAGCCAATGGGTGTTTAGGCCTTAGGCCTTCGTGGTAGTTGGAGTATAAAAAAAACATCCTGTATAGGGGTATACCTGCTTCAATTTAACAAAGTCCGCATACGTTTATTTAATTTGTAACATTTGCTTTTCCTCATGCATGTAATCAAAACTGATGCACAATAAGTAGAATGTGCGAAAATTATTGTATTGTAGACTTCGGTAGCAGAGACTTAAATTGTCGGAAATTCAGTCGCCATGGAGCGTTTCACGGGTGAGCAGCGTGCGTTCTATGTTTCACCAATTTCCAGAAGTTTGATTGATTTGAAACTTCGCACACGTATCAAGGACCGATGACAACGCAGTAATTTGATAACAGCTTCCCATTATCCTTATTAGGACCGCCAGGATTGATAAATTCTTTTATAGATCCTCTGTAGGGGACTAAGAGAGATAGAGCTAGCGCGTGATCTGCACGGTTGTACAGACTATCATGCAGTCATTTATCTAGGCTCGTGACTGTTTTGCTTGACAAGCTTATATAGCACTTAGTCGTGTAGGATCTTTGGACTGTATTCGGATTGAAGA